ATCATCATCATCATCATCCTCATCATCATCATCATCATCATCATCATCATCATCATCATCCTTCAGAGGTCTCATCACGTCTGCATCTGCCTGCCTGCCGCTCCGAGGATCCCTCGAGCAGACCATTCGCACCCAGGGCCCTCCGAGTCCTTCAGACGGCCCCGCTCCTCCTCGGCGTACTTGCCCTCCTCGGGGAAGCGCGGGAAAGAGGGAGAAGGGACCCAGACATCCGACGATGTGACTTCCCTGGGGGCATCCGTTCGTCCCGGAATCCCGCCCCGTGGAAATCGAAAGAGATGCAAAACGCCAAGACTGAAAAAGCGGATGGGGGCAAGAAGGGGGGCGACGAGGAGGAGACGACACCACGAAGAAAAGAGCATCCACGGCCGCCTCATGATCATCATCATCATCATCATCATCATCATCATCATCATCATCATCATCATCATCATCATCATCATCATCATCATCATCATCATCATCATCATCATCATCATCATCATAATCATCATCATCACCACCCATCATCATCATCATCAGCATCAGCTCAGCATCAGCATCAGCATCATCATCATCAGCATCACAATCATCATCAGCAGCATCCTCATCATCATCATCATCATCATCATCATCATCATCATCAGCATGAGCATCAGCATCAGCATCAGTATCAGCATCAGCATCAGCATCATCATCATCGTCGTCGTCATCATCATCATCATCATCATCATCATTATCAGCAACATCATCATCATCATCATCATCATCATCATCATCATCATCCTCGTCGTCGTCATCGTCGTCGTCATCATGGTCATCAGCAGCATCATCATCATCAACAGCATCAGCATCAGCATCATCAGCATCATCAGCATCATCAGCCGCATCATCATCATCATCATCATCATCATCAGCAGCAGCAGCAGCAGCAGCAGCATCGTCCTCCTCCTCATTATCATCATCCTCCACATTGTCAGCATCATCAGCATCAACAACAACAACATCATCGTCATCCTCATCATCATCAGCAGCAGTGTCCTAATCATCATCATCAGCAGCACCAGCATCATCATTAGCATCATCATCATCATAGTCAGCACCATCATCCTCATCCTCATCATCATCAGCATCATCATCATTACCACCATCGTCATCAGCATCACCATCATCATCATCGTCGTCAGCATCATCATCATCAGCATGATAATCAGCACAAGCATCATCATCATCACAATTACCATCATCAGAAGAATCATCATCGTCATCATCCTCCTCATCATCATCTGATCGTCATCACCATCATCGTCATCATCATCACTGTACCATCATCCCCATCACTGTCCTCGTCCGCATCCCCTTCATCACCAGCATCGTCGTCACCATCATTATCATCACCAGCACCATCACCATCGCCATCACAATCACCAGCATCATCATCATCATCATCAGCAGCATCATCGTCGTCATCTTCACCATCGCCCCGACGGGCTCACAGACTTCGAACACGCACCCAAACCCCAAGACACCCGAGGTGACACAGGTGACAGTGTCAAGCACCTGCCTCCCAGCACCAGACGGCCCTACGAAAAGCACACCACGCGTTACGGCTCAACGAAGACTGGCGATACAAGATGTCACGTCAGGACCCCGTACTCCCTCGTGCACAGACCACCGAAAAAGCTGGGCTAGTACTGTGGCAGGACTTGCCGTAGGCAGCTGGATAGGCTCGGGCTTCCCGACCGTGCTGTCACTGCGCGGCATCCGTTGTCGCGACACACGACGCCGAGGTCATGGCCAGCATGCAGGAGGACGCCAGCTGTGCACCTACGCCGATCCTGGCCTTGCCCATCCTGGCCGCAGGCTGGCCAGGATCGGTGTAGATGCGTAGTTGAGAAGATGGAAAACAAAAAACAACAAAAACAACTCTTGGCGCTCCGCGCGGATTTCTTGGAACTGCGCTGGGCCCCGCTCCCTGGCGCGCGGAGCGTGCCCAGGGCGGCGCCGGAAGCGCCGCCAAGGGGGGCACAGCGCGGATCCAGGAAATCCGCGCGGAGCCCCAACAATTTATGTTTATGGTGTTGTTTCTTCTTCGATCGTTGGCGCCCTCCGAGACCAGGGCCCCCGCGTCCAAGACGTCACCGCTCTTGGTGGGCTTGTTTCCCACCACCACCATCAACAGGAGGGGGAGGGGTTCCTCCTCCTTCTCCTCCTCCCTCCTCCTCCTCCTCCTCCTCCTCCTCCTCCTCCTCCTCCTCCTCCTCCCCCTCCCTCCTCCTCCTCCTCCTCCTCCTCCTCTTCTTCTTTTTCTTATTATTATTATTATTATTATTATTATTATTATTATTATTAGTATTATTATTAGTGTTATTATTATTCGTCTAATTATTATTCGTATGATTCTTCTTATTAGTATTATTAGTATTATTAGTATTATCATTTGTATTATTATTAGTATTATTAGCATCATTCTTAGTATTACTATTCTCAGCATTATTATTGTTATTATTATTGTCATTATTATTATTCGTATTATTAATATTATCAGTATTATTACTACTACTACTACTACTACTACTACTACTACTACTACTACTACTACTACTACTACTACTACTACTATTATTACTATTATTAGTATTATGATTATTGTTATTACTACTATTACTATTACTAGTATTATTAGGCTGTATAGTATAATTACTACTACTAGTACTATTACTATTATTGTTATTAGTCTTATTATTCGTAGTATTATTATTCTTCTTATTATTATGTTCACTTGTATTATTATGGTTCTTAATAGTTGTATGAGGATTGTTATTCTTATGATTATTATTATTATGATTGGTATGTTGCTTATTCGTCTTATTGCTAATAATATTAATATTATTATTAGTACTGAAGTTACTATAAGTGTTATTATTATTAGTAGTAGTATTACTACGACTTAAATTAGTATTAACATTATTAGTTATTATTAGTATTATTATTATTAGTAGTAGTAGTACTACTACTACTACTACTACTACTATTATTAGTATTACTATTACTACTATTCCTCATCCTCCTCCTCCTCCTCCTCCCCCTCCTCCTCCTCCTCCTCCTTTTCGTCCTCCTCCTTTTCCTCCTCCTCCTCCTCCTCCTCCTCCTCCTCCTCCGCCTCCTCCTCCGCCTCCTCCTCCTCCTCCTCCTCCTCATCCTCCTCATCCTCCTCCTCCTCCTCCCCCTCCTTCCCCCCTTCCCCCACCAACTTCTGGTGGTGGTGGTGGAAAACAGGCCCATGAGCTCTGGCCTCCCGCTCGGCAGGGACTGGGCTGCTCGGACCGAGCCGCCGTGCCCGCCCGCGCCCGGGCGGTGCGCAAAGCAAGCCTGGCGAGCTGGGCGAGCTTGACGGCCGTGACCGACGCGCTGCTGCGGGGCGTCGGCGGAGGAGGAGGAGGCGAGGAGGAGGAGGAGGAAGAGGAGGAGGAGGAGGAGGAGGAGGAGGAGGAGGAGGAGGAGGAGGAGGAGGGAGGAGGAGGAGGAGGAGGAGGAGGAGGAGGAGGAGGAGAAGGGGCAGAGGAGGAGGAGGAGGTATAAAGAAAGGAAAAAGAGGAACAGGAAAAGGAGGACGAGGAGGAGTAAAGGGGAGGATGACGAGGTGGAAAGGGAGGAGGAGGAAGAGAAGGAAAAGAAGAAATAGGATGAAGAGGAGGAAGAGAGGAGAAAATGAGGAGGAAGGGAAGAGGGAGGGGGTGACCGCCGCAAAAAGAATGTGGCCGCATCCCTGGCGCGGGAACCGAGGATGTTCACGGGGCAGGGCACTCTCGAGGCGAAGTTGCCGTTCCTGGGAGGGGTGTTCGGCATGACCGCCGTAGGCCGAGGTAGGCCGAGGCGCCGCAGCACCAGGGAAACGCCCACCCTTCCGCTCAAGGCGGCAACAAACAACACTGAACGATGACGGAACGTCATAAGTATTAAGTCGGAGATCCGCGCGGATTTCTCGGAACGACGCTGGACAGCCCGGGCGGCGCCTCTGGTGCCACCCCTGGCGCGCTCCGCGCGCCAAGGGGGGGAGCCTGCTGCGGTTCCGAGCAATCTGCGCGGATCTCCGAAAGTTCATGTATGTGAAGCTTTCATTCCGCTTCGAAACACCTTGTCTGTCGCAGCGCGGCAGAAACAGTCCGCACGCGCGTCAGGGCGAGACTGGGACACGGCGTAACGAATTAACCCGCATGCGAGAGGGAGGGCGACAGGCGAGGGGGCGGCCGCGGAGGGGGGAGCTGGGCGCGAGGGCGCTCTCAGGCAGCGGCGCTGCGGCGAGCGCGCGGGGGGCGGCCGGGCTGCAGGGCAGCCCCTGGCAACTGCCGCGGGGCGGCGTCGCGGAGCACCCAGGGGGGGGGGGGCCAGCAGCCGCAGTGCGGGCGGGGCCCGGCAACTGGGGGAGCGGGAGCAGCAGGCGGCCAGAGGACCGGGCCGGGGGAGGCAGCGGCGTGGGAGCCGGCGGCGGCCAGGGGGCAGAGTGCGCCGGCGCTGCAGCAGCTGCGAGGGCGGCCCCAGGGCGGAGAGCGGCGGGCCTGCCAGCGGCCGAGACCACTGAGCGGCCGGACAGCACGCCGCGGGGTACGCGGCGCAGGGGCGAGGCAACCTGAGAAGAAACGAACGCCAGCGCGACGCGGGTGCACGGCATCACGGCTAGGGAGTGGGCGGCACCCAGCGCAAGTGGCGCTCGGGCGGGGCTCCTCCCACGAGGGGAGAGGAAGGGGGCGGTCCGAGGAGACGCCGACCGAAGGCTAAAAGCGGGAGGCGAGCAGCAACGGCGGTGGCCCCCAAATGGGGCAGCGAAAGCTGCGGACAGGGGCGAGACCACCCGTACAGCGCTGGGGCTGCGGCAGCAGGCACCAGCGGGGGACGGCCCGGCGCGTGGCTCACTGGGCGAGGGCGGGGGGCAGCATGTGGATGCAATCCCAAGGCCCAGTGCACGGCATCACAGCCTGGGACTTGGCGCAGCCCCGTACGAGGTCTCCCGGGCGGGGCTCCCGCGAGGGAAAGGCAGGGAGCGGGACGGGCCGCTGTGCGGAGCCGTCAGGGGGGGGGCCGCCGCGGCCGGCAGCCACCAGGGAACTCCTCTTCGAAACACGCAAGGCCATAGCAGAGAAACGGCCAGCCCCGCTCCCTCGGCGAGCTCTCCAACCAGAGGGTGGCGACTCCGTCGTGCGACGCAGGCGCCCCCCACCGCCTCCCCCCACCCTCCCCTCTCCACAGCAGAGTGGCAGCAGAGATGACGAGACATAGGAGGAGTAGGAGGAGGAGGAGGTGGAGGAGGAGGTGGAGGTGGAGGAGGAGGAGGAGGAGGAGGCTTGGACAACGATATAGTGAACGGGCGAGGACGTCGAAGTCGTCGTCGACGTCATCCTTCGCCTGCTTATCGCACACGCTGCACTGGCTGCACAGGAGGAGGGGGGAAGGGAAGGAGCGGGAGCGAACGAGGATATGAGCCACCGAGGTCGTCGTCGCCGCCCTTCGCCTGCCCGCACACACTGCCCTGATCGTAGTACTCGTCTTTGTCGCCGTCGTCGCCGTCGTCGCCGTCCTTCGCCGCCCTGTCGTACACATTGCACTGGTAGTACCCGCCAGTGGCCGTGCTGTGGGTGGACCACTCGCCGAGGCAGAGCCAGCAGAACTCGTGCCCGCAGCCGCCGGCCTTCTGGCCGTCGACGACGGCGACGTCAACGACGACGACGATCTAGGATCGAGGACGATCGAGGATCGAAGACGAGAAGGACGACGAGGACGATCGAGGACGACGAGGACGATCGAGGATCGAGGGCGACGAGGACGTTCGATGATCGAGGTACATGACATGTTTTTCATGTAATTAGGAGCCTCTGGGGGCCTGTGTAGGCCAACGTGCGCCTCGGAGGATCTCTGGAGGCCTCATGATGCCTCCAGACGGCGACGACAGCGACGGCAGCAAATAGCCAAGACGACGACGCCGACAGCCCTGCCTTCCCCTGTCTCCTGGCCCCATTCATCGTCGTCGCCCTCTTCTTCATCCTTCTCCTCTCCTCCTCCTCCTCCTCCTCCTCCTTCTCCTCCTCCTCCACTTCTCCGGGCGTTTGGCCTCTTAGCCTCTCGAGTCATCCGGGCTGTGGGGCCCCTGGGCCCCTGGGCTCGCTCTGTTTTCAGGGCCGCGCGCCCTTCGCGTGGCCCTTCCTTCGCGCGCGGCAGCTCAGTACGCTGCTGCGCGTCGGCGGCGGTGCCGTCCTGCTCCTGGGGCGAACCCACGCAATTCGCTGAGGGGCTGCAGCATATGATGGGCCTGTTTTCCACCATCACCACCATAAGTTGGAGGGGGAAGGAGGAGGAGGGCGAGGAGGAGGAGGACGAAGAGGAGGAGGAGGAGGAGGAGGAGGAGGAGGACGAAGAGGAGAAGGCAGTGGCCGCACATCAGCATTGGTGGTGGTGGTGGTGGAAAAACACGCCCATCAGCATTGGCCGCGCCCGGGTCGTGGGCCCCGAGCGCCTTCCCGCGCTGCACCTCGCGCGCGGCGGCTCGGAGCGACGCCTCTCCCGCGTGCCCCAGACCCGCCTCTTTCAGGCGCTGGACGCCGTCCCAGTTCCTTTTGGGGGCGGCGAGCCGGGGGATGGGTCGCCTCTGTCACTGTGCCCCCGGGACCGCCTCTCTCGGGCACCGGGCGCGGCCCATGCCTGACGGCCGCGAGCCGGGAGATCGGCGGCACTGGACCCGCGGGGGGGGGGGGCCCTCGGGGCCCTGGGCGCCCGCGCTCTGGGCGTCCGGGCGGGCTCCCGTCCATTCCCCCCTTCCCCCCTTCCTTTCCCCCCTTCCTTTCCCCCCTTTCCCCCCTTCCTTTCCCCCCTTCCTTTCCCCCCTCTCTTGTCTTCTAGGCTTCTGCCGCGGTGCCCTGCACCATCTTTGGGGGCAGCGGCCTGGCGTGCAGCCGTGCGTCGTCGGGCCCCCGCCGAAGCGGCCCGGCGATCGCCCTGGGAAGGCCTCGTGTCGCAGGCAAGTGGCCGCTACGTGCAGTGGCTGCGCTTCTGGTGTTTTTGTTATGGTGGTGGCCGATGGGCCGGCGAGCGCGCCGAAAGGGCGCGCAGTTTCCGTGCTGCCGCGCCGTGCCAGCGCGTGCCCAACAGGGGCTCGCGCTAAGGAGTTGGGCGCGTGGCCGACTTGCCACAAAGCCATCATCCTTGTCCTTCTCCCGCCTTCGTCTTCTCCCCTCTCTTTCTTGTTCCTCTGTTTAGCGCAGTCGTTCCAGCACGTAAAAGAACGTAAAAATGTGCACCAGAGGGGATCAACCATACTATATTCTTCAAAAGCGAGAATCCAAAAGAAACAACAACAACAACAACAACAACAACAACAACAACAACAACAACAACAACAACAACAATTACTAGCACGTGGGGACACTCCGTTCTCACCAGTGCCAGGGTTTCATAGGAGGCGGGCAATACCCCCACTTTGTGGGGGGGCCGGTTCAAGCTCTACCAAATTTCCAAACGACTCTTCGCCACCACCCACACCCAGCTTCCCGCCCTATGACGTTCGGACACTTCACTTCGTGGCCTGCGGACGACCGTGGCTACTACACTGGCGTGGAGTACACACCCACAGAAGTTGTTAAGCCTACGTTCGTACACCCACAGAAGTTGTTAAGCCTTGTTAACCCACAGAAGTTGTTAACCCACGGTGCGATTCGTGTGATTTTATGATGCGCGGTGCTAAAATTCTTAAGAAGCCCAATGGTTTTTGGAGATTTCGGCGTGCGCGCGCGAAGAAAAAACGAATGTGTCCCGCATGGTATTATTTGACTGGGATGATGGCCCTGGCAGGTGCGCAACCGTTGTCGCAGAAGTTCGAAAAAGTTGCTCGCAAAAGCCCGTTTGACAGAAATGTTTAAAAAGTGTTGGTTTTCCTACGAATCCGCAAGAGCGCGCGGGATGAGATTTTGACATTTTTTTGTTGAAAAACCATTGGTTTTTTGATGTTTTTATGTTAAAATCGCTCGAACACTAAGCTTTTGGAAGGATTTCGTCTTGCGCGCGCGAATGTCCACTTTACCTTATTTTTTGCAAGGGATTCTTGAAATTTGATTATATTAGACAATTGATTATACTAGAACAAGTCATTTTATAGTGTTTTTTGCAAGGGAAAACGGATTACAACAAAACAACCGGATCTTGATGACATCGTATTACCTGAGGCTTCCTCACGAAAATGATGAAAATGTAGCTGCGGCCTAGGCGCGGCGGGGGGGGCGCGCACCAGGGGTCCCAACAATAATTATTCTTAAGAATTGAAATAATGTTCAACAACAACAACAACAACAACAACAACAACAACAACAACAACAACAAAACAACAACAACAAAAACACGATTACTCCGACGGTAGGACCCCACATGAGAATCTGTCTAGCTTACCCTTTGCCCTTTCCTCTTCCTCCTGGGGCTCCCGCCTGAGACTTCCCCACAATTCACTCACAGACGAGGCTCCCGCTCGAGACTTCCTCCATATTCATATCTCAAGAGCCCAAAAGTGACGACAGTTGCACGTTGCGGATGACCCGCTCGGATTCGAACATGAAGTGCGGGCCCCATAGGGAGGGGGCTCCCGCCTGAGACTTCCTCGCAATTCACTCACAGACGAGGCTCCCGCTCGAGACTTCCTCCATATTCAAAGTCTGAAGAGCCCAAAAGTGACGACAGTTGCACGTTGCGGATGACCCGCTCGGATTCGAACATGAAGTGCGGGCCCCATAGGGGGGAGGGCGAGCGCTGAGACTTCCTCACACTTCACTCACAGACGAGGCTCCCGCCTGATACTTCCTCCATATTCAGGCCTCAAGAGCCCAAAAGTGACGACAGTTTGCACGTTGCGGATGACCCGCTCGGATTAAAACATGAAGTGCGGGCCATATAGGGAGGGGGTTCCCCGCCTTAGACTTCCTCACATTCACTCACGACGAGGCTCCTTTGCTCGAGACTTTCCTCCATATTCTTTCAAGAACCCAAAAGTGACGACAGTTGCACGTTGCGGCTGACCCGCTCGGATTAAACATGAAGTGCGGGCCCCATAGGGAGGGGGCTCCCGCCTGAGACTTCCTCACAATTCACTCACAGACGAGGCTCCCGCTCGAGACTTCCTCCATATTCAGGTCTCAAGAGCCCAAAAGTGACGACAGTTGCACGTTGCGGATGACCCGCTCGGATTCGAACATGAAGTGCGGGCCCCATAGGGAGGGGGCTCCCGCCTGAGACTTCCTCGCAATTCACTCACAGACGAGGCTCCCGCCGAGACTTCCTCCATATTCAGGCCTCAAGAGCCCAAAAGTGACGACAGTTGCACGTTGCGGATGACCCGCTCGGATTACAAACATGAAGTGCGGGCCCCATAGGGAGGGGGCTCCCGCCTGAGACTCCTCACAATTCACTCAAGACGAGGCTCCCGCTCGAGACTTCCTCCATATTCAGCTCAGAGCCCAAAAGTGACGACAGTTGCACGGTTCGGATGACCCGCTCGGATTCGAACACGAAGTGCGGGCCCCATAGGGAGGGGGCTCCCGCCTGAGACTTCCTCACAATTCACTCACAACGAAGCTCCCGCTCGAGACTTCCTCGTATTCAAATCTCAAGAGCCAAAGTGACGAACAGTTGCACGTTGCGGATGACCCGCTCGGATCAACATGAAGTGCGGGCCCCATAAGAAGGGGCTCCCGCCTGAGACTTCCTCACAATTCACTCACAGACGAGGCTCCCGCTCGAGACTTCCTCCATATTCAATCTCAAGAGCCCAAAAGTGACGACAGTTGCACGTTGCGGATGACCCGCTCGGATTCAAACATGAAGTGCGGGCCCCATAGGGAGGGGGTCCCGCCTGAGACTTCCTCACAATTCACTCACAGACGAGGCTCCCGCTCGAGACTTCCTCCATATTCATATCTCAAGAGCCCAAAAGTGACGACAGTTGCACGTTGCGGATGACCCGCTCGGATTCAAACATGAAGTGCGGGCCCCATAGGGAGGGGGCTCCCGCCTGAGACTTCCTCGCAATTCACTCACAGACGAGGCTCCCGCTCGAGACTTCCTCCATATTCAGGCCTCAAGTCAGCGAGTAGTGATGATGATGATGATGATGATGATTATGATGATGATGAGGAGGAGGAGGAGGAGGGATGATGATGATGATGATGGTTGATGATGTGATGGTTTGATGGTGAGTTGATGGTGATGATGATGATGATGATGATGATGATGATGATGATGATGATGATGATGATGATGAGTGGGGAGTGATGGTGATGGTGATGATGATGCGGAGGAGGAAGCAAAAAGGAGCAGAGGAGAGGGAGGAGGAGGAGATCCTGCACGGAGGGTGTGCAGAGAAAACAAGAACCCCACTTAGGATGTGGGGAACAACAACAACAATTACTCCGACGGTAGGACCCCACACGAGAATATGTTTAGCTTACCCTTTGCCCTTTCCTCTTCCTCCTGGGGCTCCCGCCTTGAACATCCTGACAATTCACTCACAGACGAGGCTCCCGCTCGAGACTTCCTCCATATTCATATCTCAAGAGCCCAAAAGTGACGAAAATTGCACGTTGCGGACGACCCGCTCGGATTCAAACATGAAGCGCGGGCCCCGTAGGGAGTGGGCTCCCGCCTGAGACTTCCTCACAATTCACTCACAGACGAGGCTCCCGCTCGAGACTTCCTCCACATTCAAATCTCAAGAGCCTAAAAATTGACGACAATTGCACGTTGCGGATGACCCGCTCGGATTCGAACATGAAGTGCTGGCCCCATAGGGAGGGGGCCCCCGCCTGAGACTTCCTCACAATTCACTCACAGACGAGGTTCCCGCCTGATACTTCCTCCATATTCAGGCCTCAAGAGCCCAAAAGTGCCACAGTTACACGTTGCGGATGACCCGCTCGGATTCAAACATGAAGTGCGGGCCCCATAGGGACGGGGCTCCCGCCTGAGACTTCCTCGCAATTCACTCACAGACGAGGTTCCCGCTCGAGATTCCTCCATATTCAATTAATCAAGAGCCCAAAAGTGACGACAGTTGCACGTTGCGGATGACCCGCTCGGATTCAAACATGAAGTGCGGGCCCCATAGGGAGGGGGTTCCCGCCTGAGACTTCCTCACACTTCACTCACAGACGAGGCTCCCGCTCGAGACTTCCTCCATATTCATATCTCAAGAGCCCAAAAGTGACGACAGTTGCACGTTGCGGATGACCCGCTCGGATTCAAACATGAAGTGCGGGCCCCATAGGGAGGGGGCTCCCGCCTGAGACTTCCTCGCAATTCGCTCACAGACGAGGCTCCCGCTCGAGACTTCCTCCATATTCAGGCCTCAAGTCAGCGAGTATGTGATGATGATGATGATGATGATGATGATGATGATGATGATGATGATCGTTCGATGCCGATGATGGTGAGTGATCGCGGGATGGTGATGGTGATGCTGATGGTGATGATGATGATGAGTGGGGAGTGATGGTGATGGTGATGATGATGCGGAGGAGGAAGCAAAGAGGAGCAGAAGAGAGGGAGGAGGAGGAGATCCTGCGCGGAGGGTGTGCAGAGAAAACAAGAACCCCACTTAGGATGTGGGGAACAACAACAACAACAACCACCACCACCACCACCACCACCACCACAGCAGCAGCAGCAGCAGCAGCAATAACAACAACAACAACAACAACAACAATCATAATCAGCAGGGCCTCTTCCGACCCACGTCGCCAAGAGAGATGATGTTATTTGCGAGGAGCAGTGCACGGCGGCGAATTCGCGGCTTCAAGGCGAGCCACTGGACAAATAGACGAGCCTCGCATCCAGCCAGAAAAAGCCACTCTCAAGCTCGAAGGGGAAGAAAGGGGGGGAGGGAGAGCTTGAGCACAAGTGGCAGTGGCCATGCGGCGACGCTCCCTACATTGCCTGCTTCACGTACTGAATACACCCAGCAGGGCCTCATCCGACCCACGTCGCCAAGAGAGATGATGTTATTTGCGAGGAGCAGTGCACGGCGGCGAACTCGCGGCTTCAAGGCGAGCCACTGGACAAATAGACGAGCCTCGCATCCCGAACCCGAACGCGGACTTGGCCGAAGGCCGAAAAAATTCAGGGCTACGCCCCCATTCTGCGAGAGAGAGCCAGGGATCGCTTATTCTCACACGTGCGAACGAGGATGGCGGCGGCGGCTCGGGCGAAGGCTGCCGGGTAGGCAGCAGCAATGGCTGCCCAGTGCTTCCCGCCCGGCGCACGCCCGCTGAGTTCAAGGCGGGGTCGGAGTGTTCTGCTGCAAAGGCCGCGAGGGCCACCGCATTTTTTAGAAAGTTCCCACGGCTCTCCGATGCCCCAAGATCGCACCCTGGTAGCTTTTCTCCAGGGCGCGCCAAACTGACACACGTGACACACCACATAAGTGCTGCTCTTCAAATTCAGAAGCCTCTGAAAGTGAGGGGAGGACCACATGAGGCTGGTCTGCGGGTTCTCAATCATAACACCAATTCCGCATCTCAGGCAGGCACGGATTACATGAAGGGAGAAAAGGAAAGACCTGTTTCCAATGTCAAGCTTGCTACACTGCTCAGGCGAGAGGTCGGGCCGGCCGTCAGGGTGCTGCTCAGTTCGCAGCGGGGCTCGCAGCGCGCGGGTCCAGGTACTGCACGGCGTGCCGAGCCACACGCCTGCGATGACCCCGCCAGAGATCCAGCCCAGGATCCTGTTGAGGAAGGCTGGCGTCAAGTGATTCTCCAAGGGTGAAGCATTATGTCCAGGCTAAGCGCGGCGTAGCCCATGGCCTGAGCGCTGGCCGCGACGCGGCCACAGCCCCCGAAGAGCTCCAGGAACAGCAGCGACCTGAGTCGCACGGCCCGGCCCAGGCTCGCCACGAGCCTTTTGCCCAGGTAGGCGCCGACGTCCCCGCCGTCGACCAGGTGGGTCACGTTGCCGGCCGCTTTCGCTTGCGGCCAGCGGCGGACGTGGCCCCGGCGTTCGGGCCCGAGAGCAGAAGGCCCTCACACTCGCCGGGACCTGGTCGAAAAGCGGGCCAGCCAGCCCGAGCTCCACGAGCGCTGTGAAATGGGTCATCACGAAGTTCCCGAAGCTGAAGACGTCGCTGTGTACCTCGTGCAGCTCGCGAAGCAGGCGAGTGGCCTTGGTGTAGCGGCGAAGGCTCGACGACGACGCCCATCGGCCCCGAGCTCGCACTTGCTCCAGGCTTCGGCGACCGGCCAGGAGGTCGTCCGACGCTCCGCCGTGGCGAAGCGAGTAGGGGTGTGGAGCGAGCTGCCCCAGCCCCAGCAGCTCCGCAGCGGCCTTGAAGGTCACCCTGAACTCTGTCGCGTCGAAGTCCCACAGCGAGGCGTCCGCGTGCGTCGCCGCCTGGAGCCCTGCCAGCACAGGAAGGATCCAGCTGTCATGGTCGATGAGCACCGCGTCGTCCGACGTGCCGGTCTTGGACGGCTGGCCGAGCTCGAAGTCGTGGAGTAGCAGCCCCCAACTCGCGTAGCTCGCCCCTGCCGCCGACACAGGGGCGACCAGGTGCCTCCCCAGCAGCGCGATCCCTTCCAGCGGCCTGAGATAGCAAATGAAGGTCAGCATGGTGTAAATGGCCATCCGACGACGGCCGAGGTACAGCATCACCCCCGCGATCGCCGCCGCCCCGGTCTTGGGCATTGGCAGCCTCGAGCGCCCAGGAGCCCGTCGCTTCCAGGCTCCGGCCGCTCGGCACGCGCGCGGCAGGCACAGCCCGCTGCGCCGGGCCAGGCCCGGGAAGACGTGGGAGAGCGCCGCGATCAGCTGCGCCCCCAGGTCCGAGCACTTGCCGCCCAGGAACTGGTGATTCAGCAGCGGGGTGACGGCACTGTCCAGCGACTCCCAGCTGTCCCAGTCCAGGCGGTACATCCGGCAGAAGAGGACCAGCGTCGCCAAGCGGTCGTGGCACTGCCTCTGCGCGTTCGGGCGGATCGCCGCGGACTCGAGGACCGAGAGGCCGAAGGTCTGCACCGTCGAGGCCACCACGAGCTGGGCGTTCTGTGCCCGCTCGGCAGCGGCCTGCGCCGCCGCTGGCCGCCGGCGCGGCCCCATGGGGCCAGGAAAGATGCACGTGGAATGGAGTAGTGAAGAAGCCGTGATCGCCTCGGGACGGATGGTCTGCAGGATGGAGTTCAGATGGTACCCAACGCACAACTATCTTACATCCCGTGGTCAACGATAGAGCAGCCATCTTCTGAAGTACATGCCGGAGATATCGAGAGTTCGTCCGCCCCTTGGTGGCCGCTAGGGCCAGTGGCAGGTTATCCACTATAAACAGGATCTTCTTCCCAAGAGCCCCAGTGTTCCTGAGCGCACGCCGAATAGCCATAAGGAGCGCCCCCCCCCTCCAGCTCTAGGATGTCGGTGGACCCAGCAACCTTCGAAGCGTGAACAACCTTCCAAGTGTCAGACTTCAAGAAGCCCAAGGGGACCTCGTCGAAAGCCACGGGGTTGTCGAACAGCAGGTTCTCGAGGGCCTTGTCGGGGCCACCAGTGGAGTCCTCAGCTGCCTGATGGAGAGCATGCTCGCGAGCCCGCTGGGCCCCCTCAACCCGGAAGCGCCACCTCTCGCTGCATCGGCCGATCGATGAAACCAGTGAAGTGGGAGCTTTTCGGACAGCGACGCCGAGACCGAACAGAGACGCATCAGAGGCGGCTACCTCTGGCCACCACCCTGCGCTGACGTCAACGCTGAGCAGCGGTAAAATACAACGTGATTGCCAGAGCTCGCGTCGCACCGATCTCCAAAGACGCGCCTGCCGAGACCCGACCCCCTCGGCAAACTGGTAACTGGCGTTGAGCAAAGAGAGGACTTCTCGTCGTATCAAACCCGCCCAAGTGAAATGTCCTATGATGACCCTGAGGGCGTCTCCAGAACAAAAACCTCTTCTGAGCAAAGCGTCCAACCCGAAGCGAAGTCTCCAAATGCTCCTGGCCTTGATCGAAAGATGTCGCCCTCTCTTCAGCTCTAGCCCTACGAAGGTGGTGTCCCGCGCGGCAGGCTCCTCATCGCGAGTGAGAAGCCCCCTCTCCGTCAGCACGCGCGTGATGGCAAGGGCGGCCTGGTCGACGAGGGCCGGGGAGCGTCCCAGGGCGGCGTAGTTGTCGACATAGCCGGCAACCGCCACGGCGCCCTCCCGGTCGACCACGACCCCCGCCTTCCCGCCCTCGACGCACTGGTCCACGGTGAACCCCGCGGTGCCCATGGCGCGTCGGAGCACGCCCTGACAGAGGGCCAGCGCATGGCTCCAGCCCGTCGGCAAGACGCACACGCAGGGCTGCACTCGCGCCCCTCGCGCGAGCGGGGCCCCGCCCAGGTGCGTGATCCCGAGCAGGCTGGCATCCAGGGCGGGCAATCTGAAGTATGAGGACAGCCCGTCAGGTAATCGTAGTCTGTGGAAGGCGTTGTCGATATCACCTGAGGCCAAGTAGGCGTCGTGCCCAGGGTTCTCGAAGGCGGCGAGGGCCGTCGCAGTCGGCAACGCAGTCCGAGCCGGTCGACCAAAAAATAGGTTGGCATACCTCGTGTCAAATATCACTCTCAGCTTCTTGTTCTTCTTCGCGACGAAGAAGCAGCCGACGGTGGCCGCGTCGCAGTCCCTCTTCAGCTCCACCATGCCGCGAGCCAGCAACTCGGCGACAAAATCGGCGTAGAGCAGAGGCTTACTGAAGAGACTGGGGTCAAAAAAAGGTCCGCGAGGGCAGAACTCAGCGCGTTCAGCAGCTGTAGGTCTATCTGGCCTGAGCAGGGTGCTCTGCCAGCGGCCCAGCCACTCAGATTCGGCCTCGCCAAGGCAGGCAGTCAGTGGAACTGGCTGCAGGTCGGGCGAGGGCCAGGATATGGACTCCTTGACATACGGCCGTCGGGAGGAGAGATCACCCGTCTGGTAGATCCCCGTCCCAGCGAGGAGCTCACGTAGGGCTCCCTCGCGAAAACCTGCCTCAGGTGGGGGCTTGCCAAGCGCACGTACTCGAGACTCGACGTGATCCACTGCGTGCCGCTGGCCGGCATTGGCGGGGGCCGCTGGCCGGCCCTGGTGGCCGTACAAGTCATTCAGGGCGTTGATACACTAGTCGCCCCAGTCAAGGATGTGCTTGGTGGCCGCGCCACGCCGCCGAGTGGCCCGCGACAGATCCTGGCGGCCCGCTGCGCCGGCATGGTCCCGGCGCAGAGGGGGCAGCGGAAAAACATCACGTTGGCGAACACTGTGTCCCAGCGCGTCAAAAACCTCTCTGTTGATCGGACCGGTAGAAGCACCGCGGTCCACAGGCGTCTCAGTCGGGGAGTCGCGCCGGCCGCCTGAACCAGGCGCGACCGAGGGGGACATCACCCCTCCTCCTCCCTGTTGTTCTTCTTCTTGTTGCCCTTCTTCGCAAGCTACCTCTCCTCGCGCGCCTTGCGGCGCTCCTTCAGCAGCGCCTGCTCCATGGCCAGCTGAAGGCTGGCCCACTCCTGGAGGAGCGGGCACACGCACGCGCCTCCCCTGGTGAGCTCGCTGCCCATGAAGAGGTGTGCGTCCACGCTGTCCTGGCCGCCACTGGCCGAGCCGCCAGCGCTCCTGTCCCGGCAGCGCTCCTGCTGCACCTGGATGGCGCGCGCTAGCAGCTCAGCGGCCGCCAGGTTGGCCCCGTTGCATTGGTCGAAACAGAGCAGCTCCTCCAGCGCCCTGCAGGCCCGGTCGTGCTCCTGCACTCCAGGCTCGTGCTCCCGGAGACGAGCTTCGCTCCGCCATCGAGAGTGCATCCCAGTTGGGGTCCCGCCGTGGTCGACGGTGCACCGGAGGGCCCAGTGTGTGGTGCGGGGGGCGCGCACCGGCCACCCCTCCCACTGGTCCTCCCGGCACGCCAGCACCGCGTCGCGGAACTCCCGCCGACGGTTGCCCACCATGTCGTAGACCACTGGGAGCGTCCGCGCATCCTGTACGTGGCCGCCAGCGGGCACCGCAGCGGCGGGGACGCCCCCAAAGGCTGCGGGAGGAGGTGCAACGGCTGCAGCCGCGCCTGCCGCGCCAAGCAAGGGCGCGCCGACGGCAGCACCGGCAGGCGCCGCGCCGGCCCCTGGGGCCGCGGCGGCCGCGGCGCCGGCTGCGGCTGGAGCAGCTGGCGGAAGTGGAGCGGGGACAAGAACTCCTGCAGGCGCTCCTGCTGCTGGTCCGCCGAGCGCTGCCACCAGGCCGCCCAGCCCGGCCGCCGGGGCCACGCCTCCGAGAGCGGCGGCGGCGGCCGCCGCCGGCGGGCCTGGCACAGCACCGGGCGGTGCGACAGCGCCTCCGGCCACGGGCGCACCTGGCAAGGCACCTCCCGCTGGCAGCTCGGCGATGCGCCCACCGAGGGCTGGCGCCACGGGCCCCACAGGCGCGGGCTGGCCGAGGCGGGCGGCCGCGGCCGTGGTCGACGCCGCGAGGCTCGCGGCGCTCGGCATCGCGCCGACCCGGAAGCGGTAGTATCGAGCTCCGGGCCGACCCAGCAGGACGCCTCCTTGCTGTCGATTCGGCAGCGGCTCCCACTCGACGATGTCTGGCATGCTCCATACTTCCTCGTATTCGTCACCGTCGGGGGTGGTGACTGAGACGGTCAGCCCAGCTCCAAGCGGCAGGTAGGTGACTAGCCGCTCGTGGTACAGATATGGGCCCCCGACATTGTACCTCACCACGCAGAAATCGCCCACCTGCAGGTCGTGAGAGACCGTGAGCGGGTGGCCACCAGCGGCGCCAGGCAGCATCATTGTGCCAAAACCTTCGACCGGTACTGGGCCACCTGAGCTCGGGCGGTCGCGTCCAGGTCCTCGGGGTTCAGCTCGGTACTAGCCCTCACACCCGTCAAGCGACCAGCGGAGAAAGCCACGACACCAACGCAGGCACACGTGAAGACCAGCGCGAGCGGGGTCAGCGGCGAGGTGTAGGCCACGTGACCGGTCGAGCAGGTCAAAGGTGGACAATGCAGCACCGGCGAGCACTCGCAGTGCGGGCAGGTGGGCCGTCCAGCCCACACGACCAAGCCCGTCGAGACCCCCTCCGCGAATCGCCCGGCAATATGACGGAGGGCGGCCTGCATAGAAAAGAATGGGGGGCCCTGACTCAGAGCTTGAGCACAAGTGGCAGTGGCCATGCGGCGACGCTCCCTACATTGCCTGCTTCACGTACTGAATACACACATTATAAGACTGCTCGCTCTTATCTGTTCGCGTGTCATTCGTCATTCAATATGCATATCCCAAACCCTGGATGCCCGACCTTTTCGTCTTCGATCGTACCCCCTTTTGGGGGGTATATTCATTCCCTGCCATGAAGGGCAGCAACGGGGCCACGAAGGGCAGCGAGCGAAGGCGACCGCAGAACCAGTACGGGCAGCGAGGGGCATCGAAGGCGGGCGAAGGGCAGCGAGCGGCGACTGCAGTCCCTCACGGGCTGGTCGGGCGGGCAGGCCCAGACGGGCGGGTCGAGCGGGCGGGTCGTTGAAGCGTAAATCCTGCTTGAACTGCCAGGCAATATGTAGCGGGAGCGCGAGTCCTGAGTGTCGAGGAGCGGCATCTGGATAAATTGTGAGGAGGTATCAAGCGGGAGCCGCGAGTCGGTGGTAAGTTGCGAGGAAGTCCCAAGCGAGAGTGCGATTCTTCAATAAACTGTCGGAAAGTATCAAGCGGGAGCCGCGATCCGGTGGTAAATTGCAAGGAAGTCCCAAGCGAGAGCGCGATTCTTCAATAAATTGTGAGGAAGTATCAGGCCTGAGCCGTTGTTGTTGTAAACCGGGGGCCAACAACACAGTTTGACCCTCAAGACTTCCCCTAATAAAAACTATCCCAGTGCGACCCTACCTAGGAGTTGGAGCCTCTAGGAAAGCAACATTAGTAGGAGCGGTAAACGCCGTCCTCCTCCTTCTCCTCATCGTCGTAGTTGTAACAGCAGTAGTAGTAGTAGTAGTAGTAGTAGTAGTAGTAGTAGTAGTAGTAGTAGTAGTAGTAGTAGTAGTAGTAGTAGTAGTAGTAGTAGTAGTAGTAGTAGTAGTTAGTAGTAGTAGTAGTAGTAGTAGTAGTAGTAGTAGTAGTAGTAGTAGTAAGTAGTAAGTAGTTAGTAGTTAGTAGTAGTAGTAGTAGTAGTAGTAGTAGTAGTAGTAGTAGTAGTAGTAGTAGTAGTAGTAGTAGTAGTAGTAGTAGTAGTAGTAGTAGTAGTAGTAGTAGTAGTAGTAGTAGTAGTTGTAGTAGTAGTAGTAGTAGTAGTTAGTAGTAGTTGTAGTAGTAGTAGTAGTAGTAGTAGTAGTAGTAGTAGTAGTAGTAGTAGTAGTAGTAGTAGTAGTAGTAGTAGTAGTAGTAGTTAGTGGTAGTAGTAGTAGTAGTAGTAGTAGTAGTAGTAGTAGTAGTAGTAGTAGTAGTAGTAGTAGTAGTAGTAGTAGTAGTAGTAGTAGTAGTAGTAGTAGTAGTAGTAGTAGTAGTAGTAGTAGTAGTAGTAGTAGTAGTAGTAGCGCCAGAACCGCCGACGCCACGCCGTAAGTGAAGCAGCAGCAGAAGCAGGCAGCAAGTCGCCGAGACAGCAGCAAAAGCAAGCATGCACGGAGATGAGGGCGGGGCACTGGGGAGTTCTTTACATCTACAGCTATATCTACACCTACAGTCCCGGGCGGTTCCCCCAGTCCCCTTGGAGTCAAGCAAAAGCTACGCTCTGCTATGCTATGCTATGCCATGCTATGCTGCGCAATGCTATGCTGGGCTAGGCTAGGCTAGGCTATGCTATGCTATGCTATGCTGCGCTATGCTAGGCTGCGCTATGCTATGCTATGCTATGCTATGCTATGCTATGCTATGCTATGCTATGTTTTTGCTTTGCCTTCGCTTTTGCCTTCACTTTTGCCTTTGCTTTTGCTTTTGCTTGGCACACAGGGAGCGCAACTGGGGGAGCCGCGCGTTTGCTTTTACCTTTGCTGTTGCTTTTGCTTGGCTCCCAGGGGTCTGGGGGAACCGCCCGGGGCGGGTTGCACTGCCCGGCCCCTTTAAGCTACAGAGTAGAGTAAGAACCCTTCTAGGCAGAGCCTAGGTAGGGAAAACACGCACGAGCACGAAAAGTGCACGGGGAATGGACGTCCGAGTGATGGCGAGTAGCTCGAGGCTGTTGCGTGACGCAACAGCCTCGAGCTACTCGCAGCGTCCACCAGCTATTCGAATTCTGATGGGGACGGGTGTCAAGGGAGTTTGCAAGAGGACGAGTGCAAAACAGGGACAAGAGCGTGACGTGCAGCAGTATAGTGCTGAACAGAGCGCGGAATAGGTTTGGGTGCGCACTCTTCCGCCTCCGTCTCCTCCGCCTCCTCTCCCGAGGCGGCGTTTGTGTGGCGGTGGGAGGCTCGAGGGAGGACGCACCTCTGTGGTACCATCAGTTCGCTCCAGTGCAGCAGGGCCTGTATCGGTGCGATTCGATGCCGATTCTGGCGGGCCCGATCCGAGTCGGTTCCAATCTGCCAGCGCGGCCCGGTGCGGCCCGGTGTCTGCATGTCGCTCCTGTGAATTCTGGCGCAGCCGATCCGATTCGATTTCGAGTCCGTGCCGATGCAGCCCGGTCCGATGCACATTTCGATTCGATCTGGTGCAGCGGCAGGGGGGCGTTTGGGTGTCATTTTTCCGCCGCCGCCACTTCTCTCTATTCTACCTCTTCCTCATCCTTTCTCCTCCTCCTCCTCCTACTCCTCCTCCTACTCCTCCTCCTCTTCCTCCTTCCCCTCCTCCTCCTCCTCTTCCTCCTCCTCCTCCTCCTCCTCCTCCTGTTTAGGGGTCGCTCCTTGTCACGGCTCAGCATCACGTGCTGGTCCCCAAATATTCCCACCAGAATTACACTCCCAAACTGCGGTCGAACTGGAGGGCCAGCGCGAGCGGGTACTGGAGAGTACATGGATGCCCAGCTGCGGCTTCCATGCATAAGAGTAGACTGTCACAAGTGCGACGCTCAGAAATCAAGAGTAGCAGCACTTTCGAACACTCGAACTTCAAGCGCTCCCAGGAGCGGACTGGACTTAATCGGACTCCCCCTCCTCTTCCATTTCCTCCCTCCTCATCCTCCCTCATCCTCCTCTTCCTCCTCCTCCGCCTCCTCCTCCTCCTCCTCCACCTCTTTCCGCCTCCTCCTCCTCCTCCTCCTCCACCTCCTCTCTCCTCCTCCTCCACCTCCTCTCTCCTTCTCCCCTCCTCCTCCTCCCTCCCCTCCTCCTCCCTCCTCCTCCTCCTCTCTCCCCCCTCTCTCCTCCTCTCCTCCTCTCCCCTCTCCCTCCTCCTCCTCCCTCTCTCCTCCTCCTCTTCCTCCTCTCCCTCCTCCTCTCCCCTCCTCTCCCTCCCTCCGCTGCTGGTCCCCCTCCTCCTGAGCGACGCTGAAGGCCGGGCGGATCGGATTATCGCCTCCGCTTTATCTGGGAATGGGACCTGGACCTCACATGATCCAGATGCCTCTCATGGCCAACGTGCAGGCCCGCGTCCCGCCGTCCGAGCACCCCGCTGCCGCAGTCGCGCGCGTTCGCCCCGCGCCATCAATGGCGCAGGCGGCCCCAGGGGTCGAAAACCTTCCTGGGGAACTGGCGAAACCCCTCGATCCGACGGGCGAAAAGATTGCAACATCGCGGCGCGACCCCCCCTGACCGTAGCACTGAGTGGTCGATCTGAGATGCCCTGGGCCTGGTTGACCGAGCGCAAACCCCGGTGTCGTTGGTTGTAACGCCCCGTTCGGAGTTCGTTCCGCTGCGTTTCCTGTGTCCGCCTCTTCTGGGCGTCTCCTGGGGGCAGAGAGGGAGAAGGGGGGGGGGGAATTCTTCTCCTGGGAGGGGGGGGAGGGGGGGGAGGAGGAGAGGAGGAGGGGAGGAGGGGGAGTAGGGCAGGAGGAGAAGAAGAAGGAGAGAGAGGAGAGGAGGGGGGAGGATAGGGAGGAGGAGGAGAGGAGGGGGAGGGGGAGGAGGGGAGGGGAGGAGGGAGGAGGAGGAGGAGGAGGAGGAGGAGGCAGGAGTGCAGCCCGATCGAGGCAACCGCCGCCGCGCCGACCCGCCGCGGCGGCGCCCGGGCGCGGAGGCGCGCGGGCGCGGGCAGCCCCCCCCCGCCGCATGAGAGCCCAGCGCCCGAGCAACGACGTTTTCGGAGTTTTCGTTTCCGGCGTTTTCTCTCTGCCTCTCCCTTTTTTCCTCCTCCTTTTCCTCTTCCTTCCTCCACTTGCCCTCGCCCTCCTCCTCCTTTCCTCCTTTTCCTTTGTAAACCAGTTCCACCAGTTCCAGCCGCGCCTCCGGACCTTCCGAAAAACCGTGCGCGGAGCGAGGAGCACGACACGACCTCCCTCCACCCGATGAAGCAGCCCTCGCTGAAGCTGGAGAGATGCTGTGCAGTTGCGCGGGCAGTCAAATTGGTTGGAATTTATGAAAGTAAGGACCGAAGCTGATATTTTGGGACGTAACGAGGTCCCCATCCCAGCCAAGCAATCATTAATTTATCTCGGGGCGTCTCTTGCTGCGGACGGGCGCATAGGCACAGAACTCAGTCGGAGAATTGGGGCGGCCAGAAGTGACTTCAAGGTGCTTGCAAGAATATGGTCGCATTCGACTTTGAGTAGGAGACAGAAACTACGTATATTTAATGCTTGCATTGTTTCCAAACTCACGTATGTATTATTCACTGCGTGTCTTAACCAGGCCGAGCGAAGACGGCTCGACGGGTTCCAGAATTATTGTCTCAGACGTATTTGCAGAGTCTCTCCGTCGTACATCAGTCGGGTGTCGAACCGTACAGTTCTGCAGATCAGCCAACAGACGCCTCTGAGCCATAGTCTTGCGCGAAGACAGATGTTGTACATGGGCCATTTGGCGAGAAGACCAGACGAGGATCCAGTCAGAAGCTCGGTCTTTGAGCCGGGCGGTCTGGTTCTCAAGAGCCTTCTTGGGAAAAGGAGAAGAGGCCGCCCGAGCAGTCTTGGGGGCCCATGGTGCTGAAGAACTGCTTGAATGTTGCCGGCTCCCAGCGACTTGCTGATTACTTCCGCCAGGGCGCAGCTCGCAGG